TGACAATATATGTTTAAAATATAAAATGCAATTGAATTAATAATACTGATATTAAAAATATTTATATCAAATTCACTAACAAATCTTAATTGCCTTTTTTGGAAGTCAATAGCATAGGAGGTTAATGAAAGGCTTTGAAATGCCTTCTATTGTTATAGCAGATGAATTTGAAATTTTCAAATACTATGCAGTTTCCAGGTGGCAGCCACCTGGAAAGTAAGTGTTCTAAGTGTTCACAGTAGGTGCATAAAAGATAAACATTTGGTATTTAGTGAGGCATTTATCATAAAATGTTGGAAAGAAACGAGGAACTGAAAACCAAGAAATGTATTTGAGTAGACAAATATTTGGATAAAAACAAGAAAATTACTACCTAAAAGCAAAAAAATAAAGCCTTAAAAGCAGAGAGTCTATAAAATGAAAAGAAAAAATATATATCAAAGAATACTTCTGAAAGGTAAAAACGTGGAAACAGAAAAAAGTAACAATAAAAGTGGATAATCATTAAATCCACTCTGATAGTACACTGAATATTCTCTTTTCTCTAGAAACTAACTATATTCTCAGCAGTTCCAGGAATGGTTTCTAGTATATAGTAGAAATTCTTAAACAGTGGTCTAAGATTTTCTGGAAAAACTATAAATTTATTTTTAAGGACAAAGTGAAACACATAAAAAGCTAGCTGAGGTCTCCATTAAGAAGAAAGCACAAAAGAGAACATGATATTGACTTTTTGACTTGATGAAGGAGAGAACTAGACAACATTTTGGTCACAGCTACCACTTGCTATAGATTTACCTTAAAATCTACCATAAAGCTCTCAGTTAAGATACTGAAAGGCTATAAAAAGGCATGGCAAATAAGAAAAGGGAATAGAAGGAAAGGGACTGAGAAGGATTTTCTCACATAATTAAATGGGGGGAAGTGGTTAAGGGTACAGGAATGAAGAGCCACATTTTATTGCACATTGTGATTTACACATTGAGATGTGGCTGGAGATGGCAAGTAAGCTTGCAGATATATAAGCGTGGAGTTCAGAGGGGAAGTATCAGATATAAATTTGTGTCATTAATGTTATGATGGTATTTAAGCCTTTGGAAACTAGAGAGATCACCTGAGGAGAAGCCATAGGGGAGAAAATAAAAGAATGCACTATTAGGCTAATAACAGCAATACAATGCATAAAAGAAGAAGGTGAGGCAAAGGATACTGAGAGTAAGAGAGTGGAACCAGTTGGGAAGAAACCAGGTATGAGTGAGGGAGCCTGCATTGCACCAAGATACCGAAACTATGCCACCAAGATACCGAAACTATGCCATGGATCAGTAGCAAGGCAAGAAAAGTTTCTAGCATAGACTCATGACACAACTATGTTTGTTATATGAATGAGTGAATTGTTAATGAGTGAAGTAGCATGGTCTTTCTGGAATTCAGAGTTGACTATCTAGGATAACGGAAATATATGCTAGAGCATTGATAACCCTGAAAAAAATAGAGCTGAACAAGGTGACACTATAAACTTACCTTTGTTTTGTTTTAATACATCCCAAGAAACCCCACAGTTTTATCTTATTTCCTATTCATTAACAAAATACCATTCCAATTTAATAATAAAAGAGGTTATGCGAAATAATCTATAAAACCTTCATAGCTCAAAGTTTATTAATTCTACTTGTTTAGACACGGGAAAATGCATTCAACCCCAAGAAGTCAGAAAAGGAAAGAACTATCACAATGGTGTAGAGAAATACAATAATGAGCCAAACTACTTTCACTGAAATACAACAGATAAGCCATAAGCTATTACTCTGAGGAAAGAAGCCGCCCTAATGAAGTAGATTTTTAAAAATTGTCATACGGGTAAGCTCATTAGTTGCAATGAAAGTTCCCCCTGCTGATCCAGGAGTACCTAATGGCTAAGATTTGTTATATCTCAAAAACAAAGGTACTATTTAATTCATGTGATAGCTCACTGAGGAGATTTCAAATCTGAAAACTTTTAAATAATGATATATAAGAGCATTGAAATTCTCCAAAGCAAACGGACTTATTTCATCCAAAATATCAAAATCATTCCTCTAAAATTCCCTTCATTAATAAGGTAGTATAAGCATACAAAGAACTTATGCTCAACAATCACCTACAGTATAAATTACCTTAGTAATGGCTATTTTATTTCAAATATGAAGTTGGCTGCTCCCTGTGAAACACATTAACGGTTATCTGCTGACCCATCCACATATGTGTTCCTCTGCTAAGCAGATGGAAACTAAACCCCTTCAGGCCCCCACTGCCCCATAGAAACACCAGGAAAGAAAACAAAAAGAAAAGTCTAATTACCAAGTTACAACTCTGCAAGCCCTTATGAAAGTTAAATATTTTTGAAAAGCAAAACATCATAATATTCATGCAGAATGTTAAGTATAATCAAACGAGTCATGATAGATAAATGATATCTCAAAAACTTAATTTACAAGCAAAACTGCTAGAAAATAAATTCCATGATGAGAAATGCATCTGAAAGAGAAGTATGTTCAGATTGCCACTCAACTTCAGAACTAGTAGGGAAGATGGTAAAGTGATCTGAAATAGAAACTGCTATCAGGCAGAAAATGTTTGCACTGCTTTAATTCTTGCTAAATAACCTAATGTTTACATAAGCTGTTAACTATTTAACTACCTTTCACTAGAAAAACACACACAAAATGTCCTCTATATTTCAAGGCATTTTGCACCACTTTTTTCTCTACCACTGTTACTTATCAAGTTTAATGTTCATCAAAAACACCCATTTTCAATTCTTTTTCAAGCCATTAATTCAAAATGCATTCCAAAATATCAGAAATTTCATTTCAGAAATGTCGCCTTCCCTATTAAAAAGTCAATAATTTAAAAACTATTTTAAGTATCACGAAGCTATTTTTAATGTTTTTTTATTCTATGCTCGTTGGCCATCCCTGTCTCACATTATTTCATATAAGGAAATAGTTTGAATTATTTTCATTTTTGAAGTTCTCCCTCTCCCCCCCCCCCCTCTCTCTCTTTCCCCCTCTCTCTCTCTCTCTCTCTCTCTCTCTCTCTCTCTCTCTCTCTCCCTCCCTCCCTCCCTCCCTCCCTCCCTCTCCCTCTCCCTCTCCCTCTCCCTCTCCCTCTCCCTCTTCCTCTCCCCCTCTCTCTCCTAACCAAGGACATTTTAAGGTAAAGTAAAAGCAAAGTAAGTAATTTAACATCATTAGAGCATTGGGAGGCAGGAGTGAAAAATAAACTTAAAAGTTTAATTTTAGTCTTAAAAATCCAGATCAGCCCTAGTAGGTTTGGCTCAGTGGATAAACAGTGAGCCTGCGAACTGAAGGGTCCCAGGTTCGATTCCATTCAAGGGCACACAACCAGGTTGCAGACTCAGTCCCCAGTGTGGGGCATGCCAGAGGCAGCCAATCAATGATTCTCTCTCATCATTGGTGTTTCTAATATCTATCACTCCCTCTCCTTTCTCTCTGACATCAATAAAGATATATATATTTTTTTAAATCCAGACCAATATTTTCAGCACCATGACATTCCCCTAACCCCAAGTTATATGAGATGTACACTTCAAAGAAACATAGATTTCAGGAATAAGTGCCAAAGAATATCTCATCTAATCACATGTTTTTTAGCTATGATACCTATTTTATAGAAGGAAAGCATTAAAAGAAGGTAGGAAATGATAAAAGTGATTTTTTATTTATTTATTTAAGAAGGAGTATTCACAATAAATAATACAAAAAAGATAAAGTATTCTTAAATTGACAGATTTGAATTTTAAGAAGAAAATAGATTACAAAATGCTTTGACATTACTAATGGCCAGTGTTCAACACAAATAATACATATAGTCCACCATTTCATGTGAGTCACTCCCAAAATGTATAGCCATACATTTGTATCCTATCTAATAAAGAGGGAATATGCTAATTGACCCTCACACTGTGGCAAAGATGGCAGCACCCATAGCCAATAAGGAGGGATTATGTTAATTGAACGCCATGCCATCAAAGATGGCAACGCCCACAGCCACAAGATGGTGCATCCAGTCCCCTCATTCCCACAGGTGCCTTGCACTCACCTCCCTCCAGAGTCCCCCAGTCCCCTCAGCCCCCCAGCAACCCAGCCACCCAGAGCCACCTGAGGCTTGTGCTGTCAGCAGAGGCGTGATGTGGGCGTTGCCTTCCCCTGATCACCAGCTTGTCTACCACGCCTGAGGGCTCCCGGACTGTGAGAGGGGGCAGGCCGGGGTGAGGGACCCGCCCATTCAGTGCATGAATTTTCAAACACTGGGTCTCTAGCATATTAATAAAAATGAGTATTCATAAATTGGCTGTTGAAAACTAATTAGTGCTTCCCCCCAATCCCCATAGTATCAATGTAATATATAAATAAAAACTGGATTTTTCAGGTGGTCAAAAAATATTTGATTGTTTATATCTAAGTATTAAAAATGGTCCTTTCCTTTCTATGACCCTTATAACCTGATCTAAACCAGAACAGGGATCAGAAGCAAGTTACCAATGTTAGTTAGCATTAGGAAGGAGTAACCAAATCTCTGGAAGTTCACTGTCTACCAGGACAGAGAAAGCAGGCTCCACCTGCAAGGTGGTGGAGATAGATGTAGGACTTCAGACGCTGATTACTAGCTCTCTGCTCAGACACATCATAGTGTCAAGTGCTCGTGAATGACACTGAGTCATGGAGTGTGACAGTGGCTACCAGTGGAGCAGGCACAGCAGCAGAGGTGAGGCTGCCAAGCATTTAATATAGGGCCTCATTATCTAATCAAATTAAATCATAACAACAGTAATGACCAATCAGAAAATGAATGTTCTGTAACTATTTTTAAAGTGACATATTCATCATGAAAATACTGTGACAAAGTAGCAAGCATGCTTAAATAAAAGGCATTATTTTCTGTCTTTAAGAACTGAAGACTCAGAGCAGTGAAATGTTTTCTATAAAACCACAAACCTTTACTAGCTTTGTCCAAATGTTGCAAATCCTCCACAAAATTTAGGATATCAGGGTACTTTTCTTCACATATTTCCACCAGAAAATGAAGCAGTGTTGTTTTCTGATCTGCTGATTTCGTGTCCTTTAGCTAAATAGGATGAGAGAGAGAGAAAAAGTAGGGTCAAACATGTTTTGAAAATGCGTCTATTAAAATAATGTTAATATAGTGTTCTGGAGATAAGAATGAATGACTTGTAAAATTAGTTAATTCTATTTTTGAAAAGCAAATATTTAAATACTTGAAAAGCTACTCTTAACATATTGTTGTTTCATTAAAGTCAATAACATTATTGAAAAGAAGGAATAAGTATAATCCAATCTAGTATGTGACATTTTATGGGAGAAAATATATGGTAAATTCCTAGGAAAGTCAATACAATACTGGTACCTAAAGCTACCCCCACATTTGAGTATGATCTCATTTGGCGTATGCTGATAGAATGCCTGCTGGATAATGCAGGAGCCAGAAATACAGCAAAGGACAGTAATTTCTCAACAGGCTGATTAGTGAAAACAAAGAAACAGAAAATGCATATTTACCCTGGTTTGACAAATAGTACAGTAAAACTGATCACGAAGTACATTTAGGAGGACATGACATCTAAATTGAGCACTGGTGGAGAGGAAGTTGTGAGGGGTAGGAAAGAGAAGAAAAAATCCAAAGTTCAGTATCATTGCAGAAGGAGCAGCTTTTGCTAAAGGCCACAGATGAGGAAGAAAATGGTGCATGTGAGGAGCCTGAATGACTCCAAAATACAAGTGTGAAATTTTAAGTGTGTGTTAGGGGAGGCAAGAGGGTAGAGTAAAAACTATGAATCTGAAAAGATAGGAAGTAAAAGGGAAGGTAAGTCATGAAATGGAAATAGAATTTTGATCCCTAAGAATTTGGAGTTTTTTAAACAGATGAAAGATGACCAGATGTACATTTTAGAAAGTTCCCTGTAGGGTAGCAAGGATAAAAGATTAGAGGAAAGGGTAATAACAGATGCAAGAAGAGTAATTTAAAGAGCTGTAGCAATAATCCAGACAGGGAAAGACGACAGCCAAAGCTGAGGGAATTCTTTGGAAATAGAGTAATGAGACAGCGTGGACATGGGGACTCAGGCAATGCCATTAATTAGAGAAGACAAAAAGGATAAGAACTGATTTGGGTGGGCTGGGCAGTAAAAAAAAAAAAAAAATCATTTCAGTTATGAACAAGTTGAGTTTGAAGGTTTTAAGTAACATCAAACTCGGAATGTCCAAAAAGGGTAGGTGTAGAACACTGGTCCTCAACCTTTTTTCATTACTACCAGCTAAGGTACTTTTTAAAGCATTTTTTTTCCCTAATCGTTACGAAATTTTAAAACCACAGGTACATTGTACATTTGTTTATGTACTGTATGTACATCTGTACTTTACATATAACAACAGTAAAACATTTTTGCTCAGTGAGAAAACATTTTTATCCCTTTGGAGGTGACAGATTGTCAGGAATCCTTCAGGGAGTTGGAACTTAAGGTGAGTGAATTGGTCTAAGAGCACCAGTTTATGAGCTATTAGCCCCTAAAGCTAAAAAATTTGATAAAATAAACTCAAAGAAGTATACAGAATGAAAGGAAGAACAGAGGTTTGAAGACTGGGATGGACCCATCCTAATCAGATATGGCCAAGGAATGCAATCAGAAAGGAGTTGAGATTAAGTTAAAATCTAACTAATAAGTAGGAAGTTAGGTTGGGTTTTATGTAGTCATTGGGATGAGTACTGGGTGTGCACACAGGACAAATAGGTAATCTGATGGTGTTCCTTACAACTGAGCAATCCTTCAGAGCAGATACACATATGAGAGAGGAAAAACATCCCTCTTTGCATACCAGATTTTAATTTAGAGCTGGAAAGTCTTGGCCTACCTAACTGGGAACAGCCCTATTTACTTGCTCTTTTCCAACAATTTCCCACTTTAAAATATGCATGTGTGAATATCTACACTAATAAAAGAGAGACATGCAAATTGACCATTACTTTGCAACACCCACCAGCCAATCAGGAGTGAGGATGCAAATTATCACAACAAATACGGCAGTGGCCCAGCCCCCTACCAGCACATGACAGCTCACATACAGGCACAGAGTAGCCGGGCTGGGTGGGGCGCCTGCTATGAAGGGGCGGGGGGGCGGGGGGGGGGGTGCAGAGGGAGCTACAGGAGTGGCAATCAGGCGTGAGGGAAGACTGAAGGCAGTGGCCAGAGCGAAGGCCTGGGTCCTGGATGCCGGAGGAAAACCAGTGCAGGCAGTCAGTGGAAGAAAGGCATATTGCACGAATCTTCGTGCAACAGGCCTCTTGTATATATATAAAAATATATATCCCCATATGTGCTATTTTTACAAATTCTACCATCATTAAATACTGCATTACTCTCAGAAGATAATATGCCTATTGTATAAGTTACTACCCAATAAAAGAATGAGAATGATTCTGTAAAACCATAAATATTAACACACAACACAATTTATTAATGGAAAAACTAGCAGACTCCTGAAAACATACAGCTATCCTTCTAGACAGCCTGATTTTCACATTACCCATGTAATATGTATAAATGCTACAATGACCTCTACAATACACAAACTAATGTTGAATCACTATATTGTACACCTAAAAGTAATATAATATTGTATGCCAACAACAGTTACATAAAAAGAAAATAAAGAACAGTTCCAGGCATTTTAAAAATTAATATCAATGTTAATCTGCTATTAATGCCTTTTAAAAGGGAAGAGAGATCCCAACATCCACCTGAGTGTTTTGAAAGAATATACTCCAAAAGTGACTCAAATATTAGGTAGATTAATGGCCAATAACATGTGTGGGTTTGCCTGGTAAAACATGCTCTTAACTAGTTATTTAGCCTTGGGCAAGTTACTGGACCTTAGATTTTACTAAATGGAATAAAAATACAAACTAGACAGAGAAAGAGAACTCCTTTTTCTTCTTCAAAAAAATTAAGTATACATTCTAGTAAACATGTTAGTAGGCATATCAAAATCTAATTTAAAGCAATACTTTAGATAAAAATGAAAAAATCTAATTATAATCTTAGTTCAGAAATTTTTGCATGCTAGAACCAGTTAGAATATTTTATGAGGTTCATTCAGTTTGTACATATGCTGAGAATATTAATCTAATTTATAAAAGTTACATTTCACTATATAATTGTATTCATGCTGTCATTTTAAATGGATAAGGCCAGATTACAAAAAGCAAACTTTCACAAATACAATAGTTTTCTCTTGTACAATAAAGTGTTAGCATAAAAACTGCCTCTTTTTTCTTTTTCTTTTTCTTTTTAAGCAGCCTAGCAGGAAAGCTCCTTATTCCCTGCCGCCACCCACCCATCTCCTTTACAGCAGTGACTAGCTGGGGAATCCTGTCCCTTCTGTGGACACAAGCTGCTGACTGTACTCAGTTTACACCCTTCCTTATCATGCTCCTTTCGCGTGAAACTCGACACAGCCCGTGTGGAACGCTAAGACAAGCACTATCTACTTCTATACTTTGTAAAGTATGGAAAGAGTATTCCAGTACAATTTGTAATATAGCTAACTAGCCAGCAACTACTAGGATTAATATGCCAAGAAATCTCTATGATCCAACAACAACCTTGGTCTTTTTTCATGAGTAATAAGAATTCAGAATTTAGAATTCTGGAAATACTATAGTTTATATAACATCTATAAGATTAAGTGCATAGGTCAAATACATTTAAGAACTAGAGACAACCATAAAGCTAAACCCTAATTTATGGAGAAGGATGATATCTTGGTTGTATTATTGAAAACATCAATTGACTAGCAAGTTGCAATTCGTAACATTTTAATATGAAAAAGTATACTCACACTAAATCTCAATCTATATTTAACAATTGTGACATTAAAAATAAAAATAAAAATCCTGCAAATTTCCAATAAATAAATCTGAAATTAAACCTAATTTAGTAAGAAGTTCAGATAAGAAACATCAATAGAGAGCATTTATAAGCATGGTGTCTCATTTATAAACGATGTGGCTCTAAATTCCAGGCCAGCCATTTTTTATTCAGGTCCAAACATTTTCAGGGGGGAAAAATTGCATAATACTACCAATGTATTCTTCTTGCCACAAATACTGTATTCCTTCCCTCCTTCCCCAAATAATTAAAATAAAAAATAACAGACTCCTTCTAACAGCAGGAAAGCACAACAAAATGTATTTGTCAAAATCTTTATCTACTTACTGCTCAATTTTTTTCACCTTCTTGATAAACATTAACAGTACAGAGGGCACATTCTATTTCTACTAATTTCTCATATCAAACATAATCAGTGATCAAGCTAGAAGGGGGAAGCTTGGGAGATAGTGACAATTTTGCTGAAAAGAAAGAACAACATAAACACATTCTGTAATGCTAACTTTGGAAAGAAACTGAAACTACAATGTGCATTGAAAATTCATTTTTGTTTAAAAATATGCTTCATTTAAATTTAACAGACATTGCTTGACAGGATTCCTTGTGTATTATTGTCAAGTATTGTCAAGAGATTTATCTTCCTGATGAGTAATCATCACTGTTAAGTAGAATTTCTTATTTATATATTGTTTCTTTAAGGTACATTTAATGTGGCACAGATGTCAAATAAACAAAGAGATGGATGGACTTTCTTCAACTGCTCTGTTCATTCCAGACAAAATAATGTTAAAAGCAGATCCTGTAATAAATCATGGCCTAGTTGTCAGTCTGGAGTACAAGTTCTTTGTTGCTACAATGCAAGGTTTGGGAATATTTCTAAGATATTCAGCACAAATTTGGATGACATTTAAAGAATATTCTATTGTGTAGTCATAATAAAAAAAATTCTTAAAATAAACCTTAGTATATTCTTGCTGATTTTCATAATCCAAAGACTGTAACCCTTTTCTCTTTGATAATAAAACATATTTTAAGAATATCGTTAAATTAGCAATTCTCTTCCCATTATGTTTCTTTAATCTAAGTACGTATACAAAAGCACTATTTTAGATGTTGTAGACATTGCGGATCAACCACTAGAAAAGATGACAAAATTGTGAGC